ATATATATATATATAAAAATTAAGCCATTAATTTATCAACAATACATGTGATTGAGAAACTCTTATGTTATTTATTTATTTATTTTTTGTGTTCTTTGCTCACAATGTTAGTTGGGATGGAAACACACTCATTTTCTTTCACAGTACACTCCATCTTAAATCTTACCTGTATTTTAGGTAATGTGTTAAATACAATTTGAGTTACATCAAAATGATCTACAAAACATTATTTGGTCAATTTATTATTATTTATTTGTTTATTTATTTTTTTAATGGTCAAAGTTCAGTTTGAACCTGCATAAATGACAGGCAAAGCTCAGCACAATGGCAGTGTGTTTAAGTCTCGACTGATATTATTTCCAGCACTAACCATATAATCACACACGCAGAGAATAAAGGAAATGACCCGTCATTTCTGTGATTGTGCTGCCATTTTCAGACACTAATTCCATTTCCTGTGAACTCTCAAAGCGATCACACACTGAGGAAATGGCTCACAATGCCCAACAGGTGGTCTTCAGAATTACACAGCTCACAGAGATCAAGCCTCCAGAGGCAAGTAATTAAAAAATGAACACGTACTCCATTCCTCAATCGGGGTCACAGCCCCTTGTTTGGAAAGTGTCACGGTCAGCAGGGATTAAAACGATGTTAAATGCAAATAATAAAATGCAACTAACCATATAGTCGAGGTTTCAAAAGTGACCTGATTAACCTGTGAACTTCCCTTAACACAATGGGGGAAATCAAGCCATATCAATCGCCGTTCCTTTCAACCACACAAATTCTCTCCAACATTTCCTTTCTCTTTCATCCCTGGCTCCCCATCATTCCTATTGGCATAGCCATTACATTGGGTTGGCAGCGGCACCCGCAGATTTTGGCTGGCACCAGACGTTTCATCAAGATCAGCAGTGATTCCGAGAGGGTGAGGCTAAACTGCCCGTTTCCCACCATGAGCTGGCACCACAGTCAATGCAAAAGGTCTCTAACAGGCAGAACCGCCGCCAAATGGGGTCCGCTGGAGTCCAGGAACACTGAGCGAGACAGAGTGAGGCTCAGTCCCACAGAACACAGCACCTGCTGACCACTGCATGGAGGCGCAGCAGGGCATTGGGTGACCTTTGAGGGTGGAGATCCATCACAGCTGCTGAGTATGCAACACTGATGCATTTCGGAGAAAACAGTATGAATATACCAGCAGTTTTAATAATATCTCATTATATATATGGAATAGGGCTGCTGGAATAGGGGTTGATGATGAAAGGGTTATTCTATAAGCTGCTGTGAAATATTAAAGTGGATCATCTGTAGTTCCTGTCTGAATGCTTGATATGGCGACTCATTGATGTTATGGTGCATCATATGAATACAAAGACAGTTCTGATATACAAACTGACTGTATTCATGACAGCATAAGTAAAGCAGCCACGGCAACTTTTCAAATACACTTTCAAGGGCTGTTTGGGAATCAAACGAATCCCAGTTTCGACACGATACACAAAGATGCACAGCAATTTAGTTATTCAGAAATAAATAATGACTCTTGAAGCTACAAGACGCACAGGAGAATACTGTCTGGAATGTGATAATTACTTAATTGCAGGTTTATAAATGAAAACAAATTGAGATTTCTATGTCTCCCCTTCCCTTTTTTTGCCAATCAGAGGCGTTTCAGCTGAACGACTGCTTTAAGTGCATAGTTATGTAATCTCTGTAAATGACCCTGCATAACAATAATTAAACAGCAATGTCATTGTTCACATTTCCCAATGCCGAGGACACAGCGGCATGAGATAAAACCACATACTACTGAAATGAGTCATGATAATAGCACTAATTAAGCTTACATACAATTGCAAGATAACTAGAACTATCATTTCCACTTCATTTCATGGGTTTAATGACCTAGCTTTATAGGAAGTGAAAGATTTGTCCTTTAAAATCATACAATGCACAAAAAACAAAAGGGTTCAACCACAATATATTATATCATGCCACAATGTTGCATACTAGTACATATATTTAAATTAATATAGAGAGACAAAATATATGGAGTAAAAATAAGCACCCATTTGTATAGAAACTAGCAGCCCAGATATTCAGGGACAAAACAAAACAAAACAAAACAAAACAAAACAAAACAAAACAAAACAAAACAAAACAAAACAAAACAAAATAAAATAAAATAAAATAAAATAAAATAAAATAAAATAAAATAAAATAAAATAAAATCTAACATAACATAACATAACATAACAAAAAAAAAAAAAGCAACTTGGATGCTCAGGAAAAACAAACAAAAAACAAAACAAAAAGACAAAATAAAAGAAAGATGACAAAACAAAAAGACAAAACAAAACAAAGAAACAGATATGCCTGAACTGTTTGAATGTCATTGCACTACATCAGAAGAGGGATGTTTTGGTAATGCATCTTGGTCACAAAAAGTGACATTTTCTTAATAGTGTGGTTGTCCCTGCACTTCCAGAATCTGATAAATACACCTTCCGCAGTCATTACAAAACTGGGCCAGACTGTATATATGATGTGCCCGCATTCCGCATACTGATAATAAATCCCACATAAAAATGATTCATCAAAATGTCTAAGTTGCCAACCATAAACAAACCAATTGTTCACGTCAAAGCACCAGACTGATGTTCCCTTCTTATAGAAGCAAATAATGATTTTGCTAAAGCCGAAGTGTTGAGCCGCATAATTGATTTGCTTCTTTCCGCCATCTTTCCATTTGCAACAGAAACATAATGGGTTTTGTGAACACTGGAAATGGGGAATTACATAAAAGTTACTGAACAACAAACAAACGGACTAGCGAACAGACAACATCTCTTTATTTATTAAAATATTAGAAGGGCTGAAAAAAGCAGAGGGGATCCAGATTTATGCTCTGTTTTCAGTATCTAAACCGCATTAAACACAAGCACACTTTGATTTCGGCGGCTTTAATAGCTTGTGGGGAAACAGGTCTTGCGTGTTTAAACATGCTCTGTTTAAGTGTATTGACTTAGGTGCTACTTTTCCATTAAGGGCGTCTCATCTCTGTATTCTATTAGTGCTGCGCGGTTGGGCTGGGTCGGGCTTACTTTTCAGGCTGCATAGAGCAAGACATGCCACATTAGTAGCAATCAAAACAACATGTGTGGATGTGTGGAGATGATGCCTCAGACGATGCCTGGATAAATCCACAGTTACATAAGAGCAATAGTGTTAAACTAAACAAACAGATACCCGGGATGATCTTCAACTATCTAATCACAATACTGGCTGATGTAAGAAGAACAGAGCAGGAGAAACTCAAGCTGTTCATGTTTTGGATGTTGTTTTTACATGAC